GCTTTAATCCTGATTTGAGATGTTGTTCTTTCATTTTCATTTAATATAAATCACTCTAGTTGATCTGCAGCTGAGCTTCTGTGTTACTTGGGTGAATGCTGAAAAAAACCCACATTGATTTTTAGGTTAAAAGAAAATAGAAGGGCAAGAAAATTGAATCTACAAATAATCTTGTTGATCTTCTTACCAAAGTTCTTCTTTTGTGCAACTAATGCTGACTTACTTATGGCATAAACATACTGCGACTTGCTTTTCTTGAATAAAAAAATGAATGAATTCTTTAAATAATTAAAAATAATAATGTTGTACTCTTTTTCCTTCATCTACGATTTTTGCACTTGAATACAATAAGATTTTTCCATATAAGGTTTTAATGAGGTAGCAGCTATTCATCTTGCAAGGCTATAGAAAAATATAGATCATAATTCTATGCAAATTTTATATTATATAAATATTATGATAGGCAAGGAGGAGTATTGAGAGCATTAAATGTAGTTGGCACTCTTTATAATATTTATTGTAGTAACATAAATAGTTACAATAAATATTATAACTAAAGTGTTTAGAATGTAATGGGAAGAAACTATTTATCTTCTCCTCTTCTCATCGTATACAAGTGAGACAACCACATCAATAAATAGTATTTTTTAGAAGCTCTCCTTCTCTCTATAAATTCTTTCTTGTATGTGTGCACATTACTTCAAGCTATTCTTGTGTGTCTCTAAAACATTCTCAACAAAATCAAACTGACAATCTATTGATGTAAAAGTGACTAAGACATCTTAGTTCATTTGATACATCATTGTTTATTTTTAAATTAGATAATTATATATAAATCTAGTTCATTTATCATAGTGTAAGAATTTTTTTGAATTTTCTTGATGAGAAATTAATTAGATTTAAGTGTCATCTAAAAAAAATGATTTAAAGTTATGACTAATAAGACTTAATGATACAAAGTTATGGATTTATAAAGTCATACAGTTTGTTCAAAAGCAATTTAAATAATAGCCTGGCAGTTTCTCATTAGACAAAAGATATAAACTAAAAAAAACTCTAAACTAATATCACTTTAGTTAAAAATACATTTCATACAAATAAATCCAACTGAAAATTATGTATAATACCAATTTGATTAGTATCATCATTATTATTTTATCTGATTATCTATCTTAATATTCCATACATTCCATCATATTTTCCATTGAAAAATGTCAGTTCTATATGATATTTCAATTGGTAATACTCACTGCATACAATGAAAATGGTACATGAAAACAAAAACGAATTTAAGATACATAGCCACTCACACAAGCCAGTTATGTTATACTGAATCATGGGAACACATCAAATTTACATTCAGAAATATTGCTGATTTTTCAACACCCTCATTCTATCAGTTTTTTTTTCAGAACTTCAACATTTGTTGTATTCTCTACAATAATATTGCACTAATTTTTTTTCAGCTCACTATGATAGATGTAGAAATAATTTAATCAACCTCACAACAAAAATATTAAACCACGCTAATTTTATTTGCGTTTGTATTGAAGTTGTAATATTTTTAAAGAATTTGTGCAAAATCATTTACTATGTTAGTTTAGTACCACAAGTATTTGATCGATGTTTCAATCAACATTCAATGAGTTTCTCCAAGATACTTTAGCTATATTAATCTGATGGTTAGCTAACTATATATGAGTTTCAATTTGACAAAAATCAAAAACATTATGTATGTAGCTTATATATATATATATATATATATATATGTGTGTGTGTGTGTGTGTATGTGTCAATTACAAAATACACATGTATCCACACATATACACTAAAACATTAATTATTTCTCAGGAAAAATAAATTCTGGGTTGAAATAAAAACATTTCTTTGATATACGTTTTTCACAAAAATTGACTAACATATGAAATTTAAATGTTTTGAACACTATAGTATGTGCACCAAAAGAATGATTTAATTATAATTATAGATATTTTCTTTTTTTTCACAATTTTTTTTTTCTCTCTATTTTCCTTCTCATCATTTTAGAAAAGTTCACCAGCACATTCAACTCAAGAAAATAACTTGTTTTATTTAAAACATTTTATGCACTCATTAAAATAGTTTCACGAGTATCAAATTAAAGTTTTTTTTAATCGTATATACATCAATCCTGTGTTTCCTAAAATCTAATGATTATTTATTTGTCTTAGTCTTGTTAAAAATAACTTGTTAATGTACTTAAAATAATTATGAAAGTTGAAATATTTTAAATCATGCTTTTGATTCTAGCTGTAATTATATATGTATATATATAGAAAAAGTTTACCTAACAAACAAAAGCTGAAGCATAATAATCATAACAATAATAATAAAGTCTATATTAATGGATATGTATAAATTTTGAAAGTAACTAAAGTTTTAAGTATAGTTAAATTTTTATTTTTTTATCATGGATTATTCTATATGGATGTTAAAAATAATAATAGCACATGTATACTTTTTAAAATATACTCGTGCTTTTAAATGTTTGCATTTTGATTGATGGAGCTTATAATATGATTTTATCAAACTATCAAGTATGGTGAAAGTTTAAGTTTGAAATAGATTTGAAGAATAGCAATATCTGTAGATTGAAATTATTAAACCTTATCTCAAAATACGTGCACTTTAAGAAAATAATAACAAGAGTCACGGTGTTGATGTGTATCAATTGTTATTTGTTTATTCTTATTATGGTATAAATACAATACCATTCTAAAGCTACATGTCAAAAGATACATATCTTGAGATAATTTAAATTTGCTCAAATAATTCAGCATTTTACAATCCACTATGTCTTAATCCATTACAAATCTCATTTTTTTTTTGTAATGATGATTGTATAGACATTTTTATTGTCACATGCATTGAGATTAACTATATATTGTTAATTAAAATGGTCATATACATGACAAATATCAACAATAATTTATCTCAAATTTATTTTAGCTAGTTGTTATATATCCTTGAACAAGGACTTTTATGTTTAGTTTTGTCTTTATTTTAATTTTGAACAAATACTTTTGAAGAATTGTTAAAAACCATTTTGACTAAAGAAATTGACATGTTCAATTCATAAATTTCTAATAATATTATTATTCATCTAATTCATTCTTGACATGTATAGTGGAAGTGTATGTGAAAATTCACTCACAATTCAACCATACAAGAATTTTTGTATCACTATTGATGTTTGATCATGTGAATGGTCAAAAATGTTTCGCAAATTACAAAAACTTGTAAAACTTAGTGTCAATCTAACTTTTTTATATCCTTGAGTTGATAAAATATTTTGTTGGTTTATTTGGAACTTAACTAAAGAAATTGACAATAGATATATATATATATATATATATATATATATTTAGACACATGTTATTTATATCTCATGGATTCCATTTATTGTACACAAATCCAATTATAAACATGAATCTTAAGTTTAAATAAATATTTCTTTCCGTTGTGGTTACTACAAGAATACCCATTTTATTTTATTTTATTGTTGAAACTCACGTTCAACTACTTTATTCAAACTCATTTTTATGCCTGACATGTTTCATTTCGTTAAAAAAAAGAAAAAAAAGAAAAAAAAAATCTGGATAGATTTTTGGAAATCACTTTAATATTATTCATTCTCCAAGGTTCAAATTACCTCATCTATATGTAATGGTAGATACATTGAGGTAGAATATCAGAGGATGAAAATGTTTTATTGTTGAAAATATGTTCTTCTGTCAACGTGAACAAGTATACATCGTGTGTAAGTAAAATGGAACAGCGTAGTGTCTAAATGTAAACAAATGTAGTATTTACTGTTCTCATGATATATTCAGAAGAGAACCATTGCTATTGTTGTGCACTTCTACTAAAGTAACATAAATATAAATATTATATGAAGAGAGATTATTGTGATCCCAAAAGCAGGATTCTAGGTTTGTAACACATTAAGAGAGAAAAAGACACGTGAGAACATAATTGGCATCTAAACAAGCTTAAAATATAACGCTATACCCTAATTTTGGAGAATTTGGTGAAAAGTGATGAATCTTCATAAGTGGCAATGATGCAGGACATCAAGGTGGAAACGATGGTTTTGTTTCTTTTATTTACTTTCCTTCATCAACTACACGTGTCATTCTACCGTTGGTCGAACGCCGATAAGTTCGGACGTGGCATGGCCACACCGGATCGGACAGACGCACATGGGAAAGGGGCGGGACGGAACGGGCCGGGAGAGGACGGACCGGGGGGGGGGGGACGGGACAGGACGGGGACGGGGACGGGGACGCCGAGCGGCGCCGGGAAAGAGATCACGGAGTCTCGGAGATCGATGCTGGACGAAGGGGCGAGTACCCGGAAGCGAGAGTGCGCGGAGGAAAGGACGCGTCCACCGTCGCAAAAATAGAAACACGGCGGGCATGCATGTGGCTGTGGACCTACGCTCCCGACGCAACGCAACCCAAGGTCTTATTCTTCATTTTCTTCTTCGTCTTCTGTGGCATGCGTGCTGTGCTGTGCTGTGCGTTCGGGAGCATGGAGGCCCACACCGCAAAGAAAGAGGGCCTGGCCTACACAAGGATCGATAATCAGAGGTCCACAGCTTTGGGGCAATCAAATCTGGGTCTCGAGCCAGACAAGATGAGGGAGAGAGCACAGAGAGGGCAGAGAGAGTGGGAGGAATGAGCGTGGATTTTTTCTGGAGAGGCAGGCACCATCCTAATAAATCTCTCCGCCTATCCTTAGTGCAGCCTAGATACTTGCGTCATGGTGGTGTACCACTCTCCTTCACGAACAGAAGAACAGAAGAACATTCATTCACGATTGGCGCGGCGTTCGCGTTTGCGTTCGCGTCTGCGTCCCCGGCTGCCCGCGCCATCGTGTGCCGTTCTTTTCGCAGTGGAAATACTAGGTTATGATTATGTGTTATATGATTATGTATCGACCTCGTTTTGCTTCATGAACAATGAGTGATCGAAAAACGGCCTTGGGATGGACGTGTAACGACATTCGTAGGAGCGTCGTCGTCGTCGTCATCGTTTTGCCGTGATCTACACAGGAGGAGGGGGTGGGGAGGGGGTGGGGGAGGTGGCGATCAGGGTGCGAGCGAGGGCCCGGAGTCGTGTTTCCTCTTGGTTTGTCGTGGTCTCGAGCTTGCTCGGGTTTGGTAGCCTATTTGTTGAGTGTTGTCCTTCGAATTCGCCGCGTCCAACTCAGAGCAGAGCGAGTGGTGTGGCTGTGAGCGGAGTTCTGGATGTGGAGGGCAGGACAGGACGCTGTTTTTTCATCTTGCGCTTCGAGAAGGAGGAGAAGGCGGTGCGCCTTCCCGAAGCGCGACAGGGAGAGGAGATGCTTTAGCCGCAGTAATTTGCGCATCGGTGGAGGTTTTGTTGGCGGTTAGTGTAGATCGTCGGGTTTTTTTCGAACTAGATAGTATTGTGTGCGGCAGGTGTGATTTCGGGGCGGATTTTGGGAAAAGGAAGCTCGTGGCAGAGTCCTGAGGAGTGTCGCGTGGGGGATTTACTGCTTATTCTTTTTTTTCCTATTTTTCTCTCTATTTTTTGCCTTCTTGCCTCTGGAAGTTGAGAGATTGCTTTGGTTGTTGTTCTTTTCACGGGTGAGAAGTTTCGTAGGTGGTAGCGTTGTTGAAGGCTTGGTTAGGGGTTGGTGTTGTGGACAGTGAGGTTTGAACCAGGTTTTCGGACTGGTGAGGAGATATCCTCAGGATTGTGGTTAGAATCGGTAGGCGGTTGAAAGTACGGTGGAAATCACTTACATTTCGCTTGAGCCAGCTTGATATTACCTCTGCAGCTTCGACTGGTGGATCATGTCGACGATTTTGATTTAGGTACCGACTTTGTTATTTTGTCTGTAATTACTGATTACTTCTTCTTCAGGGCGGAGAAGACCCGCATATTGCGCATTTGATTTTTTAGTCTTCGACATGCTTTAGTCTGCTCCGCAATGTTGTGCATCTTGAACATTTCCTCATTTTGCTCCTTTTTTCTTTCGTTGCATATGGTTTAGTGGCCTTACATGCTACTTGCTACGTCTGTTTCTTGCTACATCTTGAACATACTCGCCGTACTAGTTTGAAATTTAGTTATCGAGCATGAATCATTTGTTCTCATTCATGAATCTGGTGTGCAAGCTTTTCGTTAACTTTCGAGAAAACATTTCTGCGGTTTTATCTGGCCGGTTTAATCTCTCAAACTTGCCTATCTTCAATTGCATAGCTGTTGTAGTTACGAATGTCTCAACGTGACAGTTGCGGGCCAAACTTGATCGTCACTATTTAATTTGGTACCCCTGTGCAGGTGCATTGTAATTTTAGAAATTTTCTTGGGAGGTTTGGGGCAATTTGGATCTTCAACGATGATTCGAGTCTTTATAGACATGGAACAGCCACCCTCGGTTACTTGGTTTGAGAGTGATGTTTCCGCCGACTCAGTGGCACTAGAATTTGTTGGGAGCTTTCAATCTGCTCTAGGAATAGGCATGTCAGTGGCAGCAGTGCCGCTGCGTCCTAACCGCAAGGATTTGTTATAGTTCGCACCCTTGAAGCACTCACTCCCTCCGGAGATGAATGGTGGCTCTTCATGCGGAGGACAGATAGAATATGGACAGTTTCATTGTCGATGCGGTTACTGCTGGGAGAGAGGTTTGAGGAAGTACACTACAGGAAAATGCTGCAGCATAGCTTTTTGTGTGCATCACACGGATTGGAAAGTATTGCATAATTTTTTAACCCTTCCGTAAGGAGTTTTCCTGATCAGAAACTGCTAGCAAAACATGGATCGGTACGTCTGTTTTCCATGCTTGAGCAAATCTTCCTATGTCGCGTACGGGAACTGGTAGCATCTGGGGTTAGCTTGACGAGACGTTTTGTAGTTATTGAATGGAGTTGCTACATTTTTACATCTTACTGACTTGCAGGGCTCGTTTTGTAATGTAACAGGTATAAAGTTCAGAGACAGTTGGGCGATGGGACGTATGGAAGCGTCTGGAAAGCAATAAATAATGATACCAATGAGGTTGTGGCGATAAAGAAGATGAAGAGGAAGTTTTACTCTTGGGATGAATGCATGAACCTTAGAGAGGTCAAGGTGGGACCATCCTGGATAGAATACAATTTGATTGCAGAAATAGCTCATTTTTACTATTCGATGAGTACTTCTTAACGATGAATCTTTTCTAATAAGTACTGAAATGGTGTATGTGCTTGATTACAGTCTCTGCGGAAGCTGAATCATCCCAACATTGTGAAGTTGAAGGAGGTTATAAGAGAGAATGATGAGTTATTTTTTGTGTTCGAGTACATGGTAATCCATTTATTTAAGTGTTGATCTACATCCGTGCAATAGACATGTAGGTGGTTCGTGCTATTTGGGATTTGAGCAATAGAAGTGGATAAACACATCTGATCATTGGTCCATGTTGACCTGTGTAGGAGTACAACCTGTACCAGCTGATTAAGGATAAGGATAAACTTTTCTCTGAAGCAAGAGTGCGGAGTTGGACTTTTCAAATTTTGCAAGCTTTAGAGTATATGCACAACAATGGTTATTTTCACAGGGATCTGAAACCAGGTACAGTCTTGTTTTGAATGATTTCCTGGACATTAACAATGTTCATTATTTCTTTTCTTTTTAATATATGATTACATGGATAGTATAATCGTGAATGCAAAGTCTGACGTACTGAACCTTAATAACTTTTGCTAACGGGATTGCTCCCTATTTGTCTTGTGAAGAGAATTTACTGGTTACCCAGGACGTGGTCAAGGTTGCTGATTTTGGGCTTGCGAGGGAAGTTCAGTCGTCTCCACCATACACAGATTATGTCTCCACTCGCTGGTAAGATTACTTTACAATGAAATATTGTTGTTAGCATTTGGAGTACTCGTTGTTCATTACTCTGTGCGTCCGTTGATCATACGATTGATCTAACGTCAATGCGTTTGTTTGTCATAGGTATCGTGCGCCTGAAGTGCTTCTTCAGTCACCAACTTATTCTCCTGCTATAGATATGTGGGCAGTGGGGGCTATAATGGCTGAACTTTTCACTTTTCGCCCACTTTTTCCTGGAGCAAGGTACAGTATCCGTCACTTCAGTTTGATTGACTTGCTTACATTGATATGAAATTGAGCATTGAGTTTCTCGTTCACTTCTGGTTTGGATAATTTAGAAGACGATTTGGTTTCAACTTTTTTGAATATGTCTTGATTGATGTCGTGTAAAGAGGCGTACATGTTGTATCACGTAAATAACGGCCATTTTGTACATATATTCTGCGAGACTTATCTTTGTGGCGTCGCTCTTGATTTGCGTTCTGGTTACAGTGAGGTCGATGAAATATACAAAATCTGTTCTGTGATCGGGACTCCTACTCATCAAACATGGCCTGATGGCATGAAGCTGGCAACTTCTTTGAACTTTCAGTTCCCTCAGGTATGTACTAAACAGGCAATATAAAATTTTACAGCGAATGGATTTACATGTAGTTAATGGAGCGTACTTCGTGTTCTCCTTACACTTCTTTTCTTGTATTTTTTTTTTTGAATCAAAACGTTTTATTTACTATTTCCCCCCCTCTTTTTTGCTTGAATTCCTTATGTCATCCATGGGTGGATGGATCTTTAGAAGATGAAATTGAACTAGATCAAGATTAACGTTTTCTTTTCATAATCTGAGATAGCAATTAACAAATTAAGATTCCATCGGATGTTGGAGTTGAAGGGTGTCCTGTATCCACTTTTATCTTTGAATTAACGCTTTAATGTTTCATGTGTGGTTATGTTACAGCTTCCATCAACACACTTGTCTAATTTGATCCCGAACGCTAGTCCAGAAGCAATCAATCTGATATCCGTAAGTATTGCTGCTTCCTTACAATTATCGCTGTTTTTGTGATGTTTTTGGACTTCTTTGATGCCGATAATCAAACACTAATGACTAGTGAATTGTATACTCTTTTGTCACATGAACTGGATTCTAGTTTTTATCGTTTATATTTGGAGGCTATCTTTTGAAAGTATAGATTTTCGACAGGCTATGTGTGTCTGGGATCCCCGGAAAAGGCCGACGGCAGCACAAGCATTGCAACATCCATTTTTTCAGGTGCATTAATACGTCGACTTGTGTACCAGTTGATGCCGTACCTTAATAGTTTTTCGTTGTCCGAATTTCTGATGTGTGGTTGTTAGATATGCTATATTCAGAAGGACGTTCTTCTTTTTGAATTGCCAGTTGCTTCTATTGTAGAATCGTAACAGTCGCGTTTGGAGTTTACAACCTAATCGACCTTTTGGGCATTTTGCAGGTTTATAATCGTATTCCACTACCTATTTCAGGATACGAGTTTGTGCAGCCGAAAGCATTCGTACCTACAGGTTAATTCATGAAGCATTATCATGTAATTGTTCTGTTGCGTAGAAATCACTAGTTTGGATTATTAGCTTCTAGAGTGTGCTTGCATCACAAGTTGCAGGCTTTTTTTTGTGCGGAATATTTGTATGACTGCAAACTATTCAGTTTGTGTATGCTCTTCTATGTAGTTAATAACAACGTCTTCTTTGATGCAGTGCCGAAAGCCTATCCCATGGCTAACAAGGAATATGAAGTGCAGACAGGTAGAGCACGTTCAGAATTGTTGATAGTCTGTGAAGCATATTTGTCCACTTTTAATTTTGTGGGTTTTAGCGAAGTCTAATTTTGTGAGACTACAATAATATCTGTGCAGGACATAAGCGCGGTAATACTATCAGGACTAAGGAGGTACGTATCTATTTGGATTTTTTATTTCAGTTTTTTTCAACAAATTATAGTTGCTGTTTGGATAGTGCTAGTTCATCTGTTCTGTGATTGCGTAAAAATAGTACTGAAGTCTCTAACATGTTGGTCATTCCTGCTGTATACAGAATCGCAATTCAGTGCCAAACCTCGTTTCTAAAGTGAAGCCAGCGGTCAACAGATCTGTTAGTCCAGGTAGTAAACTGTATTCAGTTTCTGCTTGAGGTCTATCGCTTCACTTGGTAGGTTGTTGTAATTGAAGTGATTATAGTCATTGTAGTCATTAATACTAATCAGCTTGTTGTGCTGGTTATGTAGTGTTTCCACCGACGCATTATGCCCGTGGTCCTGTAATCCCTGTTGTTAACCCTCCGACACCAACTCTTGCAACTCGGTATGTATCTATGATTTTCCTCTCGAATATTTAGTAATATCATCTTAATTGTTCAGCAATTCTTTACAGCTATGTAACGTAAACATTTCGGTTTCTTGGCGCTAATGATTTTCAACTCTTCCTTCCGTCAATGACAGGTGTCATGCACACCCTGCTGTCTTATCCACCAACCTCAGCTATGGTAGACCTTACATAGCTGCTGGGGAACCTTATCAACAGGTTTTTCATGCAATACCTGCAGTATCTGCAAATCATCGACGTGGTTACAACATTAGAAGCTCTTACAACATGACAGTCGCATGACTGGTAGCGGTTGGAATTGATGCTTTCGTCACCAATTCCATAAGAGTGTCTTCACTCTACTACGGATGGCTGAATACGGTTTGGCTCATTGTGGGGGAACGAAGAAGTGGTTACTGAGGGAGAGAAATGGTGGCCAGTGGTCATATGAATTGCAAGAAACGTGCGTTATATCGTAGAATAAAGTTGGGTGTTCCTCACCCAGTGACTTGATGATTATGTTAGTGTTTTCAATTGCCTAGCTGGCTATATGCGTGTAGAGACCTAGTGCTTTGGGAACTAGAGATGATAGGAATGAGCGTGATGGCTAGAGCTACAGTTCTCCAAAGATTCTGATTGTCATTTAGTGGACGAGGTTTTGACCTGGATCTACTGGGCGGTCAGGATTGATTAGGACATCAGTTTGATGTTTTTATTGATTTGCAAATTGTAGTGTGATGTGTATAGCCTGTCTTGTTCCATCCTGTCATGATCTGTACTACGTTTTGGTGAACCGAATAATACATGTAAGTCTATATTGTGTTGAACATACGTAGAAATGTTGACTTGGAGTTCTGGTTCCTCTTTCAGGAGCCTTTGACTGTTCAAAATAATTTTCTTGCATGTACTTTGTAAGAGACCAAATCTTGAATCTAAGAAATAATCCTTTATCCACCTTGTGGTATGTTCAGTTCTCGATTGGAGTAGAAAAGTCTTCTGTTTTAAAGTTGGAGTAATTGTGCAAATTGTTCACAGGTGGTCAATGTGTGCACTATTTATAGTTAGGAATGGTGAATGTCACCATCACAGGTGAAAAGTAAATGATCATTCTAACGTTTCACGATGTCAGTGCACTTCCTGTTGAGAAATTACCGATTTTGGTGCAAATTGACGCACAATTCGGAAATGTGTATTTTCTGGTGACAATTTAACAACTGGGATCAGCTTGTTCGGCAGAGGTCCTGTTATTCTGAATTTTAATACACGGCTCATTGTTGAGTTGTGCGTTGAAATTTGGATGGGGTGGAATCAGTCTCTGCAATGATGCAAGAAAATCTTACAAACAGCTTGAATGTGAACGACTGACTTTCTTTTAAAGAATTTCGGACCGTTGGATTGTCGGCGTATTCTAATTTTTAAAGGATGGACATAGACTATTAAATTTGTCTCGAGCCAATTTTTACCATGGTGACCTTTGTTAGTCTAATATTTTTTTAAAATACAGTTATCGATGTAGTAAAGAAGATTTAAGGCTCAGGTAAATTTTCGTTGGTATATCTATTATTCTGCATTATTTAGTTTATAGAGTGACAGCAAAGTGCATTTAACAAGTATTTAACTATTCTTCAACAAGTGTTCGTTTACAGAAGAAAAAAGTTGACTTGAATCATGACAATAAAAAACTATATTATGTGAAGCGGCTTTTTGAAAAGTATATATATATATATAATGAATTGAATTTATTCAAGCAAGAACCATCATAGGAAGAACATACTTGCATTCGATATCCACAAGGACAATATCCCTCAATTTTGTACTCAATGATGTGTTGATTCTACAAGGGATTATGGGAGTAGAGAATAGAACTCCGAGGGAGGATTGTAATGGAGCACCTTGGAGAAAGAGTATGGAATTTGAGTGTGCGAGGTTTGTTGTAAAAGTAGGAAACGTGTAATAAGAAGACTATTCTACATTAATATATAATCTAAAATAAATAAAAATAATTTATCAAACTAAAGCAAATTATTGTGTGCTCTTATGATAAGACAAAAATTGTGTATACGTTTATATATTTGTTTCAAACACTTAGACTACACTATCATTTTCAAATATATAACAAATTGTATTATCGACTAAATTCCTCACAATTTCCAATTGTATGGTTTTTACCCATTGAATATGACTCGTTTATTTTTATTATTACTATTATTGTTGATTCCTTGTTGATCTTTAAATAAAAGAAAACCAATTATTTCATCATAAATACTGTTACATTAAGAAGTTCTACATATTTTATGAACATATATTGTAACAGTGTACATAATTTGTACCTAGTAATGAAAAATCATATTGTGACTGTTGTAGTTATCAGGAAGTTCTAGCATTCATTTCTATACACCGATCAAATTATCTTGAAAAAAAAAAACACAGGAACCAAAAATCGAATCCCTGTAATACACTGCAATTACTTTTAACACTTCTAAAACATAAATATGGGTATGTCAGTATTTAGAGGAGTGAGTTGTAAAATTCATTGATAAACACGATTTCTTGAAGATGTAGAGATTACAGCGATGGGAATTAGGTGGGCTATGTTTGATTACTAATTGAATTCAACAAAACATAAATAAATAAATAAAGGAAAAGAAAATAGACATACACCCTTCTTTTTCTTCACTTACTTAAACAAGCATATTTGAATATTCAAAACATCTGTAGAACTTTAATTTCATTGTACTAACAGAAAATCACTGTAATGTAAATAAGCAAAAACCTCTTCAATATTCTCAACTTTTTCATGCAACTTTTTCATGTAGCACATGGTCTAGTTTCTTTCACCTACACCAAATCCTACTTAATCAAGTTCCCATTACAACAATAACAACTTGTGAAAATACATTTTTGTTGTATATTGCTTTAAATAAAGCACGAGGTTAAGTTTGTGGTGAGGAAACAATTGGCAAAGGGAAATCCAAAAGGCCCAATAGAGCGTGAGCTGAAGTATAAGTTGTTACCATGGGATGGGAACTCTAGGGCTAGGGGGAAAGAGTGGGGAAGGGGGGATTACTGAACGAGGGAACGGGCCCGAGGCGAAATCCAGGGCCGGGCGTGCCCCCCCCCCCCAGGATCCCCAGCCCGTTTGGCATCCAGCGGGGGAGGTACCTCCCTCTCCCCATTTGGCCTGTTTATGCCAAACGGGCTGGGGACCTGCTGCCCGTCGTCAAGCCCTCCCTGTCTACAAAAACGAATGACTACGTACATCCGCTGGGTTTCATTCGTCAAGAAAACCACGGTCACGGGTCCAATGGTGGGATCAGAACTTTAACTAGTGAGCCCTTGTTATCGATCTATCTCTCTATCCCCAAAGCAAAGCCCCCCCCCACGAGGCCCACCTGCACTGCTGCTCCATAAAGAGGAGGGCCTTCCCCCTCATCCACATGTGGATGAACGTTTGCTCAAGTTCATCCATAAGTGAACATGTGTGATGTGCGGTTGGATGGATATGTGGGTGGATGATGTTGGATGAATGAGGTCCCACCGGTGTGCCTGTTGCCGTGTGCGACACATTCCGTGGCCCTTTATCAAGCTCTGAAAACCGTGCTTTGACTATTTATTCCAGAGACTGTGTGTGCATGGCTCACTCTCCTGGTCATCTCATCCTTCTTCGCTATATGTTATTTGTTTTTCTGTGCCAATCAATAGTTCCTTCCCCCTTCAATATTATAATAATAATAATCATAATAGTATGAGTGGGAGGGAATATGTATAGTGAAATGAACTTAAACGAGGTGATGTGGCATGACACGGTGCACGAGTTGGAATTAAAAAAAAGTGTATAGTAAAGTGTATTAGGAACCATTGGGAAACGATAAAATCTTATTGTGCACTGATGTCCCTTTCTTTCTATCAATCAATGACATTCGTTCAATTTGCAAGTACTCATAGTATTTTCATTAAATGGAAAAAATTGAGTTGTATGATATGAATGTCATTGAAATGGCGTAGCTCACTGCAATGAACTCTCTCATAAATACTAGCCAATTCAACAGTTTTGCAATCCAACGAGATATAAATGCATTTATCATGTGATCTCCACAGAATTGGTGTTGGCAAAAACAATGTGAAGCAAAAATGAAAATGAGTGTGTGTGTGGGGGGGGGGACTGAGAACATGGATTTTGTTAACAGTTGTAATCCACTTTAACCAATTAATGTTATTGTTTGAATGAAGAATCTGTGATAAAATTTACTCTTCTGCCCATAATCAATACTATGCAAGTGATTTCAGTGTCTTATACACGATGCTTATTAAAACAACCGATTGTAGGAATATAAATATACCATTGATACTAATTTCACATCTGTTGGTAATTTGTTGGTTTTGTTTTTTCCAATTCGTGGGTAATACGTTTCAGTAATCAGCAGATGTTCTGTTTGTGTTATCAAACGAGTTGTTTATAATGAAGACTTTTGTTTTTACTTAGTTTTTTAAAAACAAAATACAACAATTAAAAGTCGAGCAACGTAATGAATTGGTTTGCTCTATATATCATGGGGAAAAACGACAACTATTATTATTGTGCAAACCGAGTTTTCATGCAATATATAAAGAAAAGAAAAGAAAAGAAAAAAGAAACTAGGTCGTATTTAATGGAAATGCAAATCAAAACATGATAGTTAACGATTTTTATTTAAAATTTGTCAATCATACTGGAACGAAAATACGAAGCACAGGGAAACATCTTCCCTTACCGAGTATCCTTCAGAAAGGAAGCAGTGTGCAAAATCATTTCACTAAATCACATTCGATACGATACTTTCCATGCGCCAGATTCAAAAACCCAATGAGTAACAGGCCTTTGACACATGGTTACCAACCTTTAGCCTAAATATGCACAAGTAGTTGCGGAAGGGGGGAATTATAGCAACAATCCACAAGCTATCCAAGTAGGCTCATGTGGAGGTCAAGGTTAGCAAGCGAGGGAATAGAAAATATATATGGTCAGGGTGAATGAATGAAGAGAGTGAGAGGGAGAGAGAAAGGTGGGAGAGAGGGAGGGTGGGGCTTGTAGTGGGTGGTGGTGGGGTATGGCCCATGGTCGCCGTTGGGAGGAATGCAGGCACGAGCTAAAAGGAGGAATGGTTGGCTCCAAAGGGCGAGGGGGACCATCAACAACAGCCAGCCCCCCTCCCCTCCTCCACCTGCAAAAGCAAACCCCCACAAGCAAGCTGGCAACAACCCAATAGAACAACCCAGAGCAGCCCCAAAATATACGAACAGAAGCGCATCCCATTTGGGGGGCCTTTAAGGCAGACTCCCCCGATCGGAGCCGTCCAGGCGCGGTGGAGGGGATCGCCGCCGTCGAGGCTGAAGATGTACACGGAAGACGAAGATTAAGAAGAAGCAGAAGAAGGAGGTGAGGCGTTTTGAAATTACGCTCCCCGGAATTGTACCAGGGCGAGGGGGGCGGGACGGAACGGGATGGCAGCGCAGCCGAGGCTTTTTTGTGTATTTGTTTTTTTCTATTTCTCTTTTCCTTTCTCTGTGGGAATGTGTGTGTGTCTATATATATATATATATATATATATAAAATTAATATTCGCGGGGAACTATGGACCCATGACCGTTGCAGACGGTAACGGATGACCGTGCTGCTGCTGTTTGTTTGTTTGTTTGTTTGTTTGTTTTCTATTTTCTATTTTCTATTTTTAAATTAAATTTTCTTCAGGTTCGGCGCGCAGATGCTTCGTCTGGATGGAAGTGGACCAACTCACTCTTGACAAACTTTTATGGCAGCATGTCAGTAGTATTCTGCTTTTATCTATGTGTTTATTATAATTAAATAATAACAATATTTGTTTTATTATTTAACTTAAGCGTAATTGTTTTAAAGAAGCGTTATTAATAAATGGTTTTTGTTATAATGCGGCAATGCAAGTGCACAGGGATTCTGTTGTGGGATGCTGCAGCCCCGGTGCTGCTGGCCCTCCCTGGATGTAGAGCCACTGAGAGAGCCAGCCCCGGGGCTGGCATGGTGGGCTGGGTAGGGATGGGATACAACATACATAGCCCGCTTCAGTAGTCTGACGCTGAGCCGTTCTCTCTGTGCGTGTCATGTCATGTTAGCCCAGAGGAGGAAAGCGCTCGCGTTGCTCTCGTTGTGCGCCCTGTTAGTCTCGGCGCTGCCTTGTTGCTGCCGTGGTCAGTCAGATACTGTCGATCACGCCTCCCTCCTCCCTCCCATTGTGTTTTGTTATGTTATTTGTCCCATCTTCGTTTAGTCTGAGAGGAGGCGGTGTTGCTGCGTCGGACTGTGTGTGTGTGCGCAGGCAGGCAGGCGGGCGGGCGTAGGAGGCCGTAGGTGCCGCATCTGGGACCGGCTGTGCTGCCTATTTTTGTCGTTTAGGGCATTGTTGCGTCTTGTGCTGTGGTGGATGATGTATTTCTAGGTGTTGCCGTGGTTGCGTACCCAGTCGCATGCCCCACTTGCTGAGACGGGTAGCATGCGATGCAGGAAGATATGTGACTGAGTGTCGGGGCGTCTAGGCTTTTTAACTTCTACATCGCGGGTGAGCTTGATCGAGCGGGACTTTTCTTAGTTGCTCTTATGTGAGTTTGGTCTTAGCAGGCCCGTGTTTGTTTGGTACTAGTAGTAGTAGCTCGGACATTCTCTCTGGCTTAGTCCTGTGACCCTTCTTAAGGGTTTCGTTCTCCGCTCACTTTCGCTGGGTTTGGGAGGTTGCGGGTTGAGCTGGTGTGTTGACGGTGCGGTTGTTGTGCAATTGCCCCGAGAAGAGGGTTCGATTGTCGAGTCTTTAGTGCATTTGCAGTGTGGGCTGAGTGGCCGACCTGGCTCTTGTTATGGCGCGACGCCTGTTAGGGTTTGTATGTGCGACGTCTGAATTTTCTCTTAAGCGCTAGACGCGCTTTGTGTAGGCGATTCTCTTTCGTCTCAAAAAGTGGCTTTGCGTTCAGGTCTCTGCAAGACCTCGGTTTTTTGAACTAGCATATGATCTGGTCTTCGTTGGGAGTGAAGTGGCGTGATGGCCAGGTAAACATAATGTCTGGCTTGTTGCTGGCGAGAATAGTCGAAAGGTCTGGGATTTATGAGGGGGAGACTGTATTTGCAAGTAATAGAGGTTGGAAGCAAGGCGCAGTCGTCTATTCTTGCGGACATTGGTGAAGTTGATTCTTTAGCTAATTTGACGACGGCCAATAGTTAGTGCATTTAGGTGGCTGTTTGATTGGTTACACTTTTTGTGAAGTGTCGTGTTTGGTTGACAAACCTTAAAACCTGTCAACTCCGAGACTGCAGATTTGCTACGTAAACTCGGTTCATACCATAGTTTGGTACATCACCTGTGCATTTCACTGTCACAAGCGTAACGTGGTGGAAATAGCGTTTTCGGGAAGGGCGTTTTAAGGGTCAATGCCTTGCTTGTCTCGGCTGCCCTGTTTCGACTTTCGTTTCTTCTCCTGGTAGATGCCGTGTAGAATCTCACCCTGGAATCGTAGTTGTTAAGCATAGAATGTTCTCACCATGAGGGAGTTACTTCTAACTAGAAATGTCTTTGGTACTGTACAATTTTCCAATGTTAGTCGGAGTCTCTGCATGGTTTGTGATGTGTTATTTTATTTTATTTTATTTCTGTGTGGTTAGGAGTTCAGTGCGGGTTTAAACTAGCAGGGATTTTGTGGCAGCTGCGAGGTTACGGAGTGGCTGTTACACTAAAATGGAATTGTCTCCGCGATCGACTTATTTGTACTGTTTTGGCGCTCTGGTTTTGAGTCTTTCGGAACACTACTGCACAATGCGAGGCTGATATCCTGTTAGAATTTTACGATGTCGAACCATTTTCTTCGAAAGCGGCTACAAATTACTACTTATTCTAGATTTATTTTAATACAATATTTTTCAAATAATTTAGATGTTAGCTCATAATGGTGTTAAGGTTATGTTCCATTGCTTACATTCTCCGAATTATAACAATTCGGCGGTTGTTATGTGGCCCCATGGCATACATGTTGCTACTGGTTCAGCTGAGTCCTGTACTTGTTGTGGATTGGAATTCTATTGTTTTTCCACGCAGATGATCTGTGGACAGTTGGTAGGAAAACATGTATCTGATCCTTGCATCCGATAAAGGACATGCCTGCGAACTGAGACTCACCTAGAATTTCAGCTTATTTATTATTTCCGGCGAAGATTCTCAACCAACTTTGTTATTCTGTAACAGGTAACGACTGACCGTGAGGAAGATTCTACAGTGGACCTGGATATTATCAGCTGCCAGGGTTCTGTAACATTGTTTTGTCATCATGCCGCGGAGACGCAAGACCCCGCGGGAACTTGAGGAGAGTGCCCAAGCTCAGGCTTTAGCAGAAGCTCAAGCATCGGCATTAGCAGGAGCGGAGGGGTCAGCTCCTTCAGCTGTTGCGCCGGAACCTGCTTCGACTCCGACTCCAGCTGCTGGTGGAGCTGCTGTTCCAGCCCCTATTCCAGTGTCAGCACCTGCACAGCACGTTGCTTCTCAACATGTTGAGGGCCAGGGCCATGGTCAAGCTCACTCCCAGCATTTAGGAGAGGGCTCGCAAGGCCAAGGTTCGGGGCATTCTCAGGGACAGAGGCAAAGGCAAGGACAAGGGCAAGGGCAAGGTCAAGGACAGGGGCAAGGTCAAGGACAGGGGCAAGGTCAAGGACAGGGGCAAGGTCAAGGACAGGGGCAAGGGCAAGGACAGGGGCAAGGGCAAGGGCAAGGACGCGATGAACCCAATAGCAGTGGACCTCCTGGGCGGGCGAGAGGAGGCATGGGAGGAGGCGAGCGAGGTTCTGGAAGGAGGGGTGGCAGGAGCCGCTATAATCAGGGTCCATCTCATAGCGCCCCCCACCACAATGCTCCAGGCTCTTTCAATCCTCACCCTGAACAGTACCGGGCCCACGGAGGACAGGAGTACCACGACATGCAACATCCGGGCTACACCCCTCCTGTGTATAGGAGGCCCTCAAGACCCTCCCAGCAACCGATACCTCCAGCGCCTAGGCCTATGCAGCAAGGAGGAAGGGGTCCTCCGTATCCTGGTCCATCATATGGACCTGGCGGAGGACCCCCTGTGCATTTCGCTGCACTGCCTGCAGGCTATGGATCAGGTGTAGGTCCAGTTGTTGAGCAGTTCGGGTCAGTGGTTATAGGGGGTGTTGGACCTCGTTTCAACTCTGGTCCAACTCAAGAGCAAGCTGTTTCTAAATACGAGCCGCCACCCACGCCTCCACCGATTTCTAGCAAACAGTTGAGATTTCCTTTGCGTCCAGACCGAGGAAGGATCGGTCTGAGGTGTATTGTGAAGGCAAATCATTTTTTTGTCGAGCTACCTGACAAAGATCTTCATCAGTACGATGTACGTCGTCTTCTGCAAAATCTTTCTTGACGTATTCATTGCAGTTATTATGTCTTCATGTTATCATAATGGAAACTTTGGATCGGCGGATGTGTTTCTTCTTTTTTTGAAGTCTGTGTATGTGCTGATTTTTCTTATTGTATTTTAGCTATCTTAACTAAGTGTTAACATATGTGTTTATGAATGGAATATTGCAGGTGACTATCACTCCAGAGGTCACATCCAGGGGTATCAACAGGGCCGTCATGGAGCAGCTTGTGAAGCTTTACAGAGAGTCACACTTGAGCTCCAGGCTTCCTGCGTATGATGGTCGGAAGAGTTTGTATACCGCTGGGCCACTTCCGTTTCAGAGCAAGGAATTCCAGATCAGTCTTTTGGACGAGGATGATGGAACCAACCAACCTAGGTGCTATTTGTTAATGAATCTGCGTACCTTTCCTAGAGACTTAGTCTATACTAGTGTAATGAGTGGTACCAGTTTTTCCTGATAATATGACTGAGTTGTGTTTTGTTTATATGTTACTTCGAGAGTTCTGACAAGTATATGTATTTAGCCGCAGACGGGAGAGGCTTTTCAAAGTGGTTATCAAGTTTGCTGCTCGAGCAGATTTGCATCATCTTGGGCAATTTCTTCTTGGACGCCAAGCTGATGCTCCTCAAGAAGCCTTGCAAGTCCTAGATATCGTATTGAGGGAGCTTCCTACCCACCGGTGCGTGTGTGGTGCTTGCGCCCCCCTGCGTTTTATGAAATTCTCAGAAATGCTTCTATTCATCCCGAGTTTTTCGAAGTGGTGAAAAGTTCGCGGTTCACCCTATTGTCTTAGCTGTCTCACAAGAATCCTTTCGTGCTCAGTTATTCTCCTGTAGGACGCTCGTTCTATTCTCCCAATCTGGGCACTCGACAGCCGTTAGGAGATGGTCTTGAAAGCTGGCGGGGCTTTTATCAAAGTATTCGACCAACTCAAATGGGATTGTCCCTAAACATTGGTAACCATTATCCCTTAACTTACTAACTCGCTTTGTCTTTGAGATGGATTCTTTGTTGCCTTCATCCTAATGGTGACTTCTCGCTGCTAAGGGTTTTGAGTAACGACAGATCGTATGATTGTGGGCTGCTCTACAAAACAACTTTGCGGAAGTCATGTTCTGAAAATGATATAATTTTTTATTTTTGGCTTCGTGGCAGACATGTCTTCCACAGCGTTCATAGAACCCAAGACTGTAATGGAGTTTATAAGGGATCTCCTCAACAAGGAGTTGACCCGTAGCCTAAGTGATGCCGATCGTATGAAGGTGTGTTTTCATGACACCACTGATTCTATATTATAATCCGTACCTGGATCCGTTTCTAGTGCTCGTGATTGTGTTTGCTCTGCACTGCATGCATCTCTTTCGGGGTAAATTTTGGGAATAAACTTTTTGGGGAATTTGCTGCTTGCGTATAGATCAAGAAAGCTCTTCGCGGAGTCAAAGTGGAAGTGACTCATCGCGGAAGTATGCGTCGCAAATACCGTATATCTGGGCTTACCCATCAGGCTACTAATGAACTCGAGTGCGTTTCTGAACCTTGAATGCATCTTTATTTTTCGAGTGTCGTTAGGGCGTACAAGTGCACTTGCTTTGTGTGTGCACTCATTGGGCTGAACCATATAATGTTTGGTAACGTCTATTTGCTGTTTTATCAGATTTCCAGTTGATGAGAATGGGACATTGAAGTCTGTCACCGACTATTTTCGGGAAACATACGGCTATTTTATCCGTCATCCGTCTTTGCCGTGCCTTCAAGTGGGTAATTCTCTGCGTCCCAACTACCTTCCCATGGAAGTATGCAAGATCGTTGAAGGCCAGCGATATTCGAAACGGTTGAATGAGCGCCAAATTACAGCTCTTCTCAAAGTAACTTGCCAGCGACCTCGAGACAGAGAAGCAGATATTATGCAGGTATATTTCCATCAAATGTTGATTACCTTGACTAATTTTAGTTTTCCTCTTTAATACCTAGTATTGATAACTTTGTTCAGCATTTTCTTGAATTGATTAGCGGGATGTGCTAATATTGGAAGAATGTGGTCACTAATCTATAAAAGTTGGTTTTCATTTTTGTTTGGGTGATTGAGCGCAGACAGTACACCACAATGCATACCACCAAGATCCCTATGCTCAAGAGTTTGGGATCAGAATTAGTAATGAGCTTGCGCAAGTGGAGGCACGAGTCCTGCCAGCTCCACGGCTGAAGTACCATGATACTGGCAGGGAAAAGGAGTGTCTTCCACAAGTTGGACAGTGGAATATGATGAATAAGGTTTTTGATAGCACGAATTATCGAGTTTTTGTTGTTTCTGTAGACTAGTGAATGTGTTGGTTTATAAACATTTCACTGATCCTTTATCCTCAGTTTCTTATGTTAATGGCCTGAAGAATGTTCAATTGGTTTTATAGAAAATGGTGAACGGCGGTATCGTGAACTACTGGGCATGTATCAATTTTTCACGCACTGTCCAAGAGAATGTGGCGAAGAACTTCTGCCAAGAGCTGGCTCAGATGTGCCACACATCCGGGATGGTATTGCTCCTTTTCCTGCCTGTTTTGGCTAGAAATGTTCCTAAGTCTGAATAGTCGTTGTGATCATTCATCGGTTTAGGGTCCAGTTTCATTTTGGACTCTGCTCAACTTCTCCCCTTGATTCGTCAGTGTTTTGCTTGTAATGTCATGTACTTTATTCTTCTGTGTCCTTAATCGCAATAAAGATCCGCATTACACGTGTTGTGAGGAAATTTTGTGTCAATAGTGTAATCGATTTTGCTAACATGTAAACTGATATTTTCTCGCTGTCGCTACCCTATTTGGGACATGCCGAATAATGTTGTGGACTGTGTTTGTGCGTTGCAGCAATTTACAAGAGATCCCGTTGTGCCTTTGCAAAGCTACCGACCCGAGCACTCGGACCGAGCTCTGTTTCAGCTATGTGATGACGTGCACAAAAAGACTAAGGGCAAGAGCTTGGATCTCCTTATTGCAATCCTTCCAGACAACAACGGGCCTTTGTATGGTATGCATAGTTTCTAAACTTGCAAGTCACACGACGAACTCCGTATTTGAGTGTTAAAGTAACGATTTAAGGTAGTGGAAACGTGTGGAGGGTGTAGGCTGATCTTGACCTTGATTTTATCGAACTCTGATTTTACATATTGTGTGGCGTGTAGGTGATTTGAAGAAGCAATGTGAGACTGTACTGGGTGTGGTTTCTCAGTGTTGTTTGACCAAGCATGTTTTCAAGATGAGCAAGCAGTACCTGGCAAACGTGGCTCTCAAAATTAATGTCAAGGTAGTGTCCAAATGACATGTCCAGGCTCTGTGTACTTCTACACTAATTGCTAAAACTTTACTTGTTGCATCATTGCATATGTTATGATTGCGCAAATGTGGGTTTACCAAAAATAGATTTTTACTTATTTTTGTGCGACTGTTCGCTGTACAGGTTGGGGGTCGGAACACTGTCCTGGTGGATGCACTTACACGCAAGATTCCTCTCGTCAGTGATATTCCCACCATAATATTTGGTGCAGATGTTACTCATCCACATCCTGGAGAGGACTCCAGTCCCTCCATTGCTGCAGTAAGTAGCTATCTTCATGCCATTTGATCGTATAGACATCTGTTCTGGATATCTGATGGCTGTATGTTTGCAGAGTCGCGTTTGAATTATACTCTTAGGTCTATACTTAGGGTAGTTTCCTGGCAATAATAGTTTTTTTTTGTATGCAGGTGGTAGCTTCGCAGGATTGGCCCGAGGTCACCAAGTATGCAGGGTTGGTGTGTGCTCAAGCTCACCGTCAGGAGTTGATTCAGGATCTGTACAAGGAATGGAGGGACCCCCAGAAAGGCACGATGACAGGAGGGATGATAAAGTAAGTTACCTATCTTTTTTGTTTTGAAACATTAACGGAATCTTGTTTTTGTGCTCATTGACTTTTTTTAATGTCATGGTTTTCAGGTGAGCTTGTAATGTGCCTCTGGCATACTTGGATGCATTCAATGCATGTTGGGAGGTGTCTTATCTGCACACGTCCACAATGTGCGATCTGATGCAGTATCAAATCAGTGCATTTGTCAATTATTGTATGAGCTGCTTGTGCCTGCGGTCGGTTTTCAATTGTGGTTGAGATTACCTGCTGTTTGTAGACTGCTGATCAACAGTGTTCGTTTGTGTAACAGGGAACTCCTTATCTCTTTCCGGTGTGCGACCGGTCAAAAGCCACTTCGGATTATCTTTTACAGGTCCGATTAAAAGACTTTCTCTAATTAGACCACCTGCTTCAGTGATGGGAAATCCCATGTGTGCTGGTCTTCTTGGTGCTATTCCCGGAATTTTGGAAATCCAAAAAAAATGTGCTTAGAAATGTGGCTTGGCTTGAGTGGATGCTCTTTTTTTATGTGCTTTTATAATCTGGGGGATGTTTGTTAACGAGCTTGTCTGTTGACACCAGAGATGGAGTAAGTGAAGGTCAATTTTACCAGGTTCTTCTGTATGAACTGGACGCAATCAGGAAAGCTTGCGCTTCCCTTGAACCGGATTACCAGCCTCCAGTCACATTTGTGGTCGTTCAGAAAAGACACCACACTCGTTTATTTGCCAGCAATCATAATGACAATCGCTCTACTGATAGAAGTGGCAACATTTTACCAGGTATATTCTCATTCGTGCTTCAGACTATTTTATTTGTTCACTTGCGTGCTTGGAAGGCATTCTATTTTATAACATTTTGATGATTCGGGAAGCTTGTAGCAGCATGATCTTGGATGCTTCAATGTATCTAACGTGTCCTGTATATAAATGTTTCAGGGACTGTAGTGGACTCAAAGATCTGTCATCCTACAGAATTCGATTTCTATCTTTGTAGTCATGCTGGGATTCAGGTGTGCTTCCCTTTCAGACTTGTGTAGATTTGTGAATTTTGTCAGCTTCTGATGCATTTGGTCTTAGTTAGAATTTCAGAAGTTGATGTCGGTGTTCTGCATGCTAGGTCATGTACTGGTTTACTGTATATATTGCGGAAATCTGTTAGTCAAGCGTTTCTATCTTTTGGAAACAGGGAACCAGTCGACCTGCGCATTACCATGTGCTGTGGGATGAGAACAAATTTTCTGCGGATAGTTTACAGTCGTTGACAAATAATCTGTGCTATACGTAAGTTCGCCCTCAAGACTTTCTTTGGGTCTTCCTCTGTGGGTACAGGGGACTTGTTGACCTGCATAATATGTAATTGTCTATGTATTGCAGTATGATAATGATTCTGCTGACCAGTTATACTTCCTCACAAATAATCTGCACTAAAAAGTAGATGATTTCCTTTCAATTTAGTGCATATCCGACGACGAGCTAGAGTGATGATTTTGCACGAAAAAAATGAAATTGTATCGTGGTAGCATGATTGGTAACAACTTTGTATTTTCAATAGTGGCTATTATGATAACCCTCTCCTTACTTTATATTCGTTGGCATCTGAGATACAGATATGCACGGTGCACGCGCTCTGTTTCTATTGGTATGTTCAAAAATCTTCTACGTCATATAATGGTTTTTGTCTATTCAACAAAATGTCTCGGCTAAGCGCATTATTTGAAATCTTATTCAACGTTCTTGGTAGACCTGGGATTGGGTGTATCCGAATATCTTGATTTTGGTTGATATCGCTTAGAATCAAAATGTAACGTTTTGTATTGATGATTTGCAGTTCCTCCAGCATATTATGCACATCTAGCTGCTTTTCGTGCCAGGTTCTACATGGATCCAGAAGCTTCAGATACTGGTTCTGTTACTAGTGGGTTGGGAGGGGCGAATCGCAGTCAGTTTACTGGATCGACTGCTGGCCGCACTCATCGTGCGGCGGGAGGAAATGCCGTGCGCCCACTTCCACCTCTTAAGGAGAATGTGAAGAGAGTCATGTTCTACTGTTAAATTGCGATACGTCAGGACATCACACAGCGATGACCTGCTTGAGTATCCAGTCAATTTGGACGTGTGTAGCTTTGCTATGTCCAATTTTGAAACCTTGACTTGAAAAGCCAAGAATGACATCATGCTTCAATGAAGCAGCTTAGCATATGCTTCAAAGGAAACATAAATACTGGGTATAGTAATGGGTTATGATATAGAATTAGTCACAATATGGCATTTTGTAACTATGGAATTGGGTTTACTTCATGTATGTGGACTACAATTGGAAGCTACAAGCCGGACGGTAAACTTAGGCTGATAATGTAGCTCTTGTATGTCGTCTTTTGTAGTCACTTTGGGTCCATCATTGTCAAAACCAATGAGTTGGTTTTGTTATGATTTGGTCCTTTTTCCCCAGGTCTTAGTGTTAAGCCAGATTGAAGGATATGGAAGTTTTATTAACAGTAGTGACTTTGATAAAGCTATTGTGCTGAAGCTGGTATTTAAACTAATTATATTGGGCTCATCAACTAATTATATCTTCTGGAGTGGCTCATCCAAGTTTGATAATTCATTTTCTTATAGCTGTTGTCCGCCGACTGATTCAAGTTAGTTTCTGTGAAGGCTAGAATATATATCTTGGGTATGAAAATAAATGTTTTTGTGACATAAAAGAATAGCTTGTATTTAAAACGATTTCTAATACATATACATGAATATGTATATAACTCTGATATAGATAAATAATACCAACATTCTGTTAAGCCATTGTTAATGGGACTCTGCATTCAACTACGTGACAATTTATAAAAGAAAAATTCAGAGGGGATTAATAAAAAATGATATGAATCTCGCATATAAATATAAAAATAAATATATGCTCTTCGAAAATGTATAAATGGGATGTCTCAGTAAAGTTGTATATACAAAAAAGAGTTGTTGATCTTTTTTCTTTTCTTTATGAAAACAATTCTATTAGTAACTTAACAACCTTTTATACCTATTTATTAAATATAAAGATTTTAAAAAAACCATTAATCATAAGTAACATTTCTACCCACATTATACTCATATTCAACCTTGTGGCATTCTAAGTCCCAAGCTATATAAATAAATAAGGAGAAAATATCATAAATACCCCTGAAATTTGCCAAATATCAAGAATACTTGTAGACTAGATAATGTATCCCATTAAATCATCTCTGATTTTGAGTTTACACGGCCTTTGTTACACATTACTACAACCAAAAATAAAAATGACTAAAAACCCAGTTGTAAACCAAGTTTCAAATCCTTTCATGATTGACATCAAATAACACTAGTTGAAGTCTATTAATGCTATAAATACCGAATGGAATCAAATGGTAAAGTTTTCATTGAAAATATTGGTGCAACATTAATTCACCTAAAAAGCAATATTCTCCATTTTTTTTGGTAAATTTATATAAAAATTAAATTTACAAAACATGTAAAAGCCAACAATAATAACTTAGTAATTCAATAGCTTAAAAATTATTGCAGTTTAGATAATAACTTTCAATTCTACTTGTTTGTGAAGTGCCAAATCTGGACATGATTCCATCAGTGAGGAATCTAAATCACATACAAAATCAAAACCAAGACTTTAATCAGTTGCTGTAAAAGTAGAACCAATGATGAACAAAAACAACGAGTGCTTATTGTAAGATCATGAAGTTTGTCAATATAGTGTCCACTACTGCGTCCATTTTGTGAGGTGTCCAAACGCAAAGTACAGAGTCTAAATCTATGGAATATGTGCTTTGGGCCCTAGTTGCAACAAAAAAAATAAAAAGGTTATATCTTATCATGTTGAAGGACATATTTACAATTATCACAAAAGAAAGGGGTAGATTTGATATTATCAAGAATACATGGATATTCTTGATATTTCAACAAATTTAAACAATATTTATGATATTATTCCATAAATAACCTAAAAAAAAAGTTTATTGAGGAATTTTATTAATATTTTAAAGTATTTTGTTGATTTATTACACTATCTTTTTTTAAAATAATATTATATTTTTTTGAAGAGAATTTAAAAATAGTCTATGTTGGTTATATATCTTTTTTTATTATGTTGCCAATGTTGTTTGTGAATTTAATTAGATAATGTATTAACTAATTAAAAAAAGAATACAAATTTGTCTCTATGTAAATTTGACCAAGCGACTTTTGAAATCTTAGCTACAATCCAATAGAGTATGAGTTTGAATCTAACATTGATCATATATATTTTTTGCAAGCTAATTCAATATTAATATATTAGTGAAAGTAAATATTAAAATTTTAAATATTAATGATTTATTTAAAATCAACATTTAAAAATATTCTCAATAATTTTTGAGCTTAAAATATTAAAATTAGTAAATCAATAAACACTTCCACATAGCCTCACTTAGATAATTTTTAAGGTCATTTACATGCCTTATATTCATCTCTAAGATACTTGAGTGTGTTTCAAGCCCGTGAATATAGACTCTACTCTCTTTAAACCACTACCAATCTTATTTCTAGATGGCCTTAGATAATTTTTAAGGTTATTTACATATCATTTATTCATCTCTAAGATAATTTAGTATATTGTAAACTCATGGATATGAGCTCTACTAGCACTCTTTAAGCCACTACCAACATTATGCCTACATTGCCTTACTTAGATAACTTTCAAATCCATTTACATTTTCTTTACTTATCTCTAGGAAAATTGAATGTATTTCAAGCTCATAGATATGGACTCTACTATCACCCTTTAAGCTACTACCACACTGAATTAAATATAAAACAATCTTCAAATTAATCCTTTATAATTATAAATGATTTTTATAAAAATCTTAAATAAATGTATCAATATTTAACAAAATTCTAATCAAATTCTTAAAATTCTATCCAAATCTTAAGTAAATCCTAAGTAAATCCTATCTAAATACTAATCAAATCCTTACAAAAAAAATCTTAAATAAACCTTACTCAACTCCAAGCAAATTATATACAAACCTTAATAAAACTCTAATAAATTCTAAAGAAATCCAAATAAAAACCTAATCAAATCTTTAGAAATCTTAATCAACTCTAAATGAATCCAACAACAAATTATGACCCTTGTAACTTTTTAAATAATCAATAATTTTATCTTTTTTTTATATATTTTTTATTATGTCTAGATTCCTATTTAAATCCACATATAAGAAATTTTGAAAAGAATCGCAATTACCAAATGAAAGAAAAATCAAAATTTTGCTTAATGACCAATCAACCTCCTTTTTTCAACATTTATGGTAAGTTATAAATTCTAGTATTTTCTCATGAACTATCTAAATACTCTCAAATTTTTTGTAGTTTATATTGTTTATGTCAACTACTAGCCTATTAATTTTCACTTCAAACCAACTAGCAAAATATTCTAAATCTTAGAAATCCTTATTAGTTAGCAATTCTCTAATTTTGAATACCTTAGCTTACTTAAACTTCAACAACTATTAATCTAACTGTTTAATTGAGTCCAAATTTATAATGCATACCAATCACAATTATATCTACAAATATATAAAATTTTATCAATAGATCTATAACAAAATTCACAAGATTTTCTAAAATATGAATCCACTGTATTTAACAAAAATCCAAGTCATCCAAATCTAACCTTGACTTAATACAACTCTCATAAAGTCATACTAACTTATAACATTTTAACAAATGCTCATAGATTTTTTTTTTTTTTTTTTTTTTTTTTTTTTTTAAAATCCCTCTCTATAATTAAACAAAAAATCTTCTATCAACTGTAGATATGCAATTTAAATTTTTTAGGATCTAGTTTCAATCCTAGTACACAAATACTCTTCCTTTAGTATCAATCTAAGATTTTCTTTGAGGATTTTTCCTAGAAAGTAAAATGTACATTTACCTTAAGATGTCTAGAGTATCATCTTTGATGATGTACCTTATTTTTCCTCATTTATGGTCCTATAATATATAAATATATATATATATATATATATATATACTAAAATTTCTACAAGCTTTCTATGTTTATCTATGATTTCTAAAGTAAAATTTTAATAATTTTTTAATAAAGCCCTTCTTGATTATTAATCTTTACATACTCTGTTATCTAATAGTTGTATTATAATATGATAAAAATGTCGTGTTTTAATATAGCAATCAATTCAAAGAGCCAGAGAGACTTACATTATAAAAGAGCTCAAATAAAGACTTAAAATAAAATAAAAAAATATAAAATATAAAAACATTTTTAGAAATCAAAGATAAAAGATACAATGAAATAAAAAAAGTATTTATATGTTACTTTTTTTATAAAAAGATCTTCTATTTACTTTATAGAGCCTTAAAAAAATAAAAATAAAGAAAAATAAGGTAAATTAGAAAAAATCATATTATACAAATCTCAAGATGAAAGTAAAGAATAACTTTTAGCAAATATTATCTAAAAATATATTAAATTGATACTTAAGAAAATCAATTGTGAACTACTATCAAAATTAGATTCTATGATACAAAATTGCCTATTTACAATACATGAGATATTCTCTTATTTATCAAAGAGTGAGTTTTTAGAAAAAAAATATAAAAGATTCATTAAGATTTTTTAAAATTTAATTGAAATTTACTCAAATTTTTATTAATTTTTTTAGCTTTTAATTAGGATTCAATTAGATTTGATTTATAACTTAGTTAGATTTTCACGTAATAAGACATTTTTATATTGATTTTCATATAATAAGCTTTAAATTATCATAAATATATTCTATCAACCTAAAAAATATCTTAAATATATTTTTATATATTTTAATTAATTCCAAATATATTCTAAATAATCTTTAATGAATTTAATTAAATCCTAAAGAAATTTCAACCGATTCAAAGACTTTTTTAAATAACCTTAAAAGAACTCCTATTCAATATTAAAAAACACTAAAGAAATCCTAAAGAAATTTTAATAAATTTCTAATAACTTTAATTAAATTTTAAATAAATTCTAATTAAACTTTAAGAAAATCTTTTAGAAAATTTAAAATTTTAATTATTATTATACTAACCATTTATTATGATTCAACTTTTTGAAATTTTTGAATCTTCTAATTTTCAATAAATATAAAAATTTTGAAGAAAATTAAAATTATTAATTAAAAAAAACATATAATTACTTAGGTACGAGCTTTCTTCCATTTTTAGCTTTGATTTCAATTTTCTATCATCAATTTTCTATTGTGAATATTTTCTATTTTTAACATTCATTTACCTTCAAATTCTTTAAGTTTTTTAGAAATATAGTCAATTATTAAATAACAAAAAATCACTTCAATTCAATTAGTATATTGCTCAAAATCATAAAAATCTTCACTAATCTTCAAAATATAATTTTTGAATCATCTTGGCTTCAAGGATACTATCCCCAAATACCAGTACTCATGTTGTAATCTATCTAATTCACCAAACTTTCTACAAACCAAACCCTGATTTAAGCAAGTTTGAATAATTAATTGTTTTGATGAAAAACACGTTGACTAAAGATATTTTTGCTTACTCCA